CTGCTTTAGACCCCGTGTGATAACGTCCCAAGTATTCAAATCTCAGTTAGGGTGCTTTTTTAATGGATGCAGAATTTGTGTGTTCTTGGCCACTAGGCTCCTTAAAATATTAGAGAATTGATATGGTTGTAGCACAGCACCATTAATTGTCATGCAACTGGTTTTTCTGTAGTCCTTCAATTAATGGGTCTTACTTCCAATGGTTATACGGAACCTCCAGATTCAGCAGTATTGTGTTTCTTCCCTTTCTAGAAGGATATTAGATTCAAAATTTGAGGTCAGAGCAAACAAGCCATACTGTGTCAGGCTCAGGGACACTCATGAAAAAGGAATTCCTGACTCTATTAACCAGTGGACAATTACTAAATGTGGCTCATAAATCCACCACCAATTGTTGACTATGATAGCTAAACAGAACCTCCATGATCAGTGACTCTATACTTCTGATTTGGATGTTGTAGTTGTTACAGTCAGTGCAAATGGACATAACTTTGGTACCTGTTTATCCAGTGTTAATGGATACCTTTCAATTTGTGCCGTCTGAGGATGTGGATAGGATCCTTAGGAAACTGGGAGCCACCACATGTGTTAGACCATTGTTTTTCCTGGTTTATCAAACAGGCCAGAAGGAGACTGACTGAGTGGGTGAAGGGGGGTAGTCAGTGCCTCTCTACAACAAGGCAGTATTCCATCTTACTTAAAGGAGGCATTTTGTGAGGCTCTTGTTGAAAGTCATGCCTGAATCCCTGTATAATGGATAATTATTGTCCATAATGCCAATGGTATTGGAGTGTGTAGTAGCCTCCCAATTCCAGGGGTTTCTGGATGAAACAGATTACTAGATCCATTGCAATCTGTTTTCTGGCTTGGCTATGGAACACAGACAGCTTTGGCTGCCTTGGTGGATAACCTTTGCAGGGAACTGGACAGGAGGAGTGTGTCCTTTTTGGTTCTGCTGGACCTCTCAGCAACTTTTGATACCATTGACCATGGTAACCTTTTGGGCCACCTCACTGGGACTGGGCTTGGAGATACTGTTTTCCAGTGGATGTTTTCCTTCCTGGTGAGGCAATCTCAGAAGATAGTGCTGGGGAACCTGTGGGCATCCCTCAGGGTTCTGCTTTGTCCCCAATACTATTTGGCACATACATAAAACTTCTGGGAGAGGTTGTCCAGAGTTTGGGGGGGGGCAGTGCCATCAATATGCTGATGACACTCAACTCTACAACTCCAGTCCACCCCAATCCAAGGAGCTGTCCTGGTCCTAAACCAGTGTCAGTAATCAGTAATGGAGTGGATGAGAGCAAGCAAAATGAAACTTAACCTAGACAAGACAGAGGGCCTCCTAGTTGTTTGGAACACAAATCAGGCAATAGGGATTCAGCCTGTGTCAGACAGGGTCACACTCCCCCTGAAAACATAGGTTCACAGTCTGGGTGTACTCCTGGACTAAGCTTTGAACCTGCAGGCACAGGTTAATGCAGGGGCCAGGAGTCCTTTTGCACATTTAAAGCTTGTGTGCCAGCTGCACCCATTCCTTGAGATGCTGATCTGGCCACTGTGGTACATGCATTAGTTACATCCCATGCAGATTATTGTAACACACTCTACATGGTGTTGCCATTGAACAATGTTCAGCCACATCAGCTGCTCCAAAGGGCTGCAGCCATTGCAGCAGTTTACAGAGAACACACGATGCCTCTGTTGAAACAGCTCCACTGTTTGCCAGTGTATTTCAAGCCACAATTCAAAGTGCACTTTTTGGATTATAAAGCCCTCTATGGCTCAGGTTGAGGCTCTCTGGCAGACCATATCTGTCTACATGAGCTTGCCCAGTCGTTGAGATCAGCAGAGGACCTTTTCTCAGTACCAACATAATTGCAAGCATGGTTGGTGGGGCTATGAGAGAGGTTCTTTATGGTTGCTGCCCCTCAACTCTGGAGCTTCCTTCCCAGGGAGGCCAGAATGGTCTCCTCCTTGTTGTCCTACCTTTGAAAAACAGGCTAAAACCTTTTTATTAAGACATGTTTTATTAAGACATGTTTTTAGAGAATGGGCTAGGGAGTCCTGTAGTTTTAATTGTACTGATTTAAGAGCTTTTATGTTTTTATTGCATTTTTATTATTTTAATGTGTTATGTATTTTAATGCTATAATGGTCTAATTTTATTTTAATGCTCCTTTTTGTATCTTTTTAACTGTAGTTTTATTTAAAAAATTGTGAGCTGCTCTGAGTCCCAATTTTGGGAGGACGTGGTAGAGATGATGATGATGATGATGATGATGATGAAGATAGTTATTATTACAATACAATTCTACAGTTCAGTTCTTTATCATGGTCCATAGACCCAACAAATTCAAATTAACATGATGTAGGATGCATTAAGAGCCAACATGGTGTAAATGTTTGAGACCATAGTTTGAATCCCTGCTGACCCGTAGAAATCCCCTAGGTGACTTTGGGAAACACACTCTCAGCCTCAAAGACAA